ATTACTATTGTGTAATAAATGTGACTTAAAGAAGGAAATGCAGAATAACTTAAGACCACAGATAAAGCTAGCATCAATTTGCTGTCCACATTTTCCCCACGTGAAGGAAACGTGCCTAAATCTGTTGCACTTACCATCCTCTTGGCCTTCATCACCTTGTAGCGGTCAAAGTCGCCCATTTTGGACCTCTGCAAAAAGAAGGAGAAATAGTCAGGGAAGAACCAGAGTAGTTGATTTCTCTCAGTTTAGCACAGCAGAATTCAGTTTTAAGGATGGACATGGACGTTGATAAAGGGAGTCAGTTTGCTTTAAGTTTAATGTTTGGGGCCCATGACGCAATCCAGAGCAGAGTCCTGCATCGGGTCGGGTACCCGACGGGTGACCCGCAAAAAAGGTGATTCGCGGATGGTATTTTTTCAAACGCTTTTTCCCGGGTAAAACGAAGATGATGCGGGTCGGGTCGCGGGTATTGCATAATAAATATATTAAAATAATAATAATTTAGTTTAATGGTTAAAATCCTCAGACCTCTCCCCGCGCATAATCATAACCTCTGCAGCGCATCAATCTGCTTCTGAGCGCGCCACATTCGAAATGGCTGAGTTGAAGCTCTCTAGCGGAGAATACAGCATTTTCAGTAACACTTCCAACGAAATCCAACGTCTGGAGGCTTTTGGTTCCTAGATGGAGAAAATAACCAACATCCCACGCTTTGAGACAAATATGCAACTGCGTGTGTTAATAATTGCACGTTTTCACTGCTCATATGCGGGTTCGGGTCGGGTTGCGGATCTTGTGCCGACGGGTCGGGTCTCGGAACTAATTGGCAATATGTGCGGGTAGCGGGGCAGGTTCGATATTGCACGTCGCGGGTGCGGGTCTTGAAAATCAGACCTGTGCAGGACTCTGATCCAGAGACCCCTACGGCTGGAGAAATGGAAGGTGGGCTGCCTCTTTAACAGAAGCTTATTCGTGAAACTCAAACCTAACCTAACAGCTCAGACAGGAGGGGCCGTATTTTTTATACAATCCTCTAAAACTATCACACAAACCACCGTCAGGATCATCTGAGCAGTAAACAGATCAGCCTCATACAAACATACCCTCCATGTTAAATAAAGGAGAATATAACAGTGGGGGAAAAACTGAAATCGTGTTTTTTTAGAAATTGTTGGAACAATTGTCTGGGAACCAAACTGCTGCACTCACCAGCTGAATGTACTTTCAACTATGTCAGTAACTACGTAGCGGATTCAAATCGAGCAGTTTCCTGGAGAAACCGTGCAATCCATCATTGAAATACTGGTAAAAATATCATTTGGTCTTGCTTCTATGGCATTCAAAAGTCTTTACCTACCCTAGCACATTTTCCCACACTAACAAGAGAAGTTAAAAATATTTGTTTTGGAACGCAACAGAAATGTTGAACAAAAAGTCTGATACTGCTGAACAAAAAGGCAATTATCAAAATCTTGAGAAATTCTCACTACGGCTAGGGATGAGTATCGTTTGAAATGTATCGATTCCGCTTCTTATCGATTCCAAAAGTGTAAAAGAAAGAGGTTAAACGTTTAGATAACAAAAATATCTTTATTCTTTTAAGCTTTAACTGACATTTTTACAAATAAAAAATATACATGCAATACAAATGTATTGCACAATAGCTGTGCTTTGTTTTAACTGAGCTAGGCCTGTGGCAAGCTATTAACTTGCCACAGGCCTATATAGCTCTGTGCCTTGTCTTTTTGAGTGTAGTGGAGCTTCACTTCAGAGCGTTTACCGCGATCCATCTTTGGTGTTATGAAGTGACTGAGCTCGTGAACTGTCTACTGGAGGAGCCTCGCTGCGGGGCAACTGTGAACCTCTGTCGCCTGTCAGCACAACTTACTTGATGCCACTTAAAAAAAAAAAATGTAGGACGGACCAGGCATGACAACCGGCCGTTCTGTGATTCTCCAGAACACACAGATGGCCAGTCCGCCCTTACCCTGTATTCCACCGGGTCGCCGCGGCGCAGATGGACCCGGTGGAATACAGGGTCTACCGCGTTTAGGAACCGCTAAGCAGAACCAAAATTGTGTATTTTGTTAGGAGTTTCGGTTCCCAACCTTACTACCGACTGTAACACATCTTACATCTGAAGGACAAGTAGGATGCCATGGTTTTGCCCATCCTTGCAGTGTTCAAAGTGAAGAAATAATGCATGCATTTGCCTTACGACTCTTCTTTTACCCATAGAACACCCTTCAAACTAGTTTCATGACTGTTTATGTATCCCTGCTGTCAAACAGAACAAACCGGCGGGGGAAACATCTCCTCACTGCCGGAAGCAAATCAATTATTTAAAAGCCAACTGGAATCTGCTGCTGCTGCAATAACAACTTATAAAATCGTTTTTATTGTCAAATATGTTCATAATGACCAGAGGGAAACATTGCCTTACCTTCTGTCTCGCCTCGATCTTCTTGGCCCAGCTGCTTTCCGACCACTTCTGGGTGACTTCGGCCTTCACCCAGGCTCTCCTCACAAACTTCTGACGAGCACTGTGAGTAAATACAAACAGTCAGTACAGATACAAGAGGGATTACTCAAGTTTTATCAATTAACAACCACACAGGGAAACCCAAATCATGTTTTTCCTTTTGAAGTATTAGAAATGCAGTCATGGTAGTCTCATTTGCAGTACAGCGTTGACACAAATCTGAGAGATGGACTTTTATTAATCCCTCGTGGGGAAATTGTTTCTCTGCATTTGACCCATCCTAGTGTTCGGAGCAGTGTGCTGCCATTTTGAACGGTGCCTTGCTCAGGGACACCTCGGTAGCACTTGGTCTTGCCGGGACTTGAACTGGTGACCTTCCAGTTACCAAGCCCCTATCGACTTCGCCACCACTGCCCCAAGGATCTCTTAAGATGCTCGATACGAGGAATTTCTGCAATAAGGCTGTCAAATTTTGAAATAATGAATTAAGAGTCCTTAGCTCTGCCTCCCTGGTGCTCCCAGTAAACTACTTTATTACATGCAACTGCTTGTAGAATTAAAAACTATCTCCAACATTAAAATAACATAAGAAAGTATGTTGTTTCCTAGTGGTTCCTTTTGAACTAACTTTGATTGCAGAGACAAAAAACGACGTTGTGCCGCCCTATTGACCACAATGACAGGCCCCTTATAAGATGCCGCTTCTAAAAATTGCAAACTAGGGTTATCCTTGAGTGGTTTCTAGAAATGCCTAAACTCTTGTGTACCTAGCCTGGTAGGAAAAGGAACACAATCTGTACCCTTTGTTTAAAATAAGTTGTGTTTTTGTTTTAAGAAAAGGACTGTTCCCACTCACCTGTGAGGTACTTTGATGACGTAGTCTGTAAGCTGCATGCACTTGAAGGGCATGGATTGTCTCTTCACACCTGTGCAGGGACCATCAACAAGGGCCTAAAAAATAGAAACACAATTAAAAAAAAACTATAAAACAAGTCCAAAGTGATGCTTACGCTACTCAAGCCAATCTCACTCACCCTGTTTTGGTCGATGACATCTACGATGGCCACCAGCTTGCCAGCATGGGGTCCGAAGGAGATGTAGGCAACACGGCCGATCTCAACGAAGCGTTTGAACACCTGAGAAACACACATCACAAAATACCGAAAGTCAAAAGGAGGCTTTTACATGGAAAGGTAGACAGTCTCAGTTTAGCCAGTGGGGCAAACGAACTAAGTACTTATACTAGAGAACTCTGCTTTCTTACCACTTTGTTCTTCTACCCCACTTCATTTTTACGAGGTAAATCCTGTACTTTACTACTTTACTTACTTTGACGATTTGAGTAATGACGTGAAATTTAAACAATTCTTTAGTTAAACTTGAAGTAAATTACCCTCCAATAAATAAAGTAATTTAATGTAGCTGCACAGTTACCAGCTTTGAGAAACACATTGATGCATAATGTGTTGATCTAAAAAATTAGACAATCTGCATAATAAAGTATGTTTTACTTTTGTCAACCATATTTTGATGTTAATACTTTTACTGGGGTTATATTTTGAATGTAGGACTTTTACTTGTAACCTATTATTCCTACATTCTGGTACTTCTTATACTTGAGTAAGATATAGTATATTGTCGCAAATTAGTTTTTTTCTTCTCCCCAAAGTACAATATCCGAGTACTTCTTACACCTCTGAGTTTAGACTTTAATTGAAGACACCCAAATCAAGAGACTGTATATTTCTGGGTCCACACAACTGCTCAATTTGTAGGCAGGAGACTCACTTTTCTTGACTTATAGCTATGTTCGGATATACCACAGTTGATAACGTTGCAAACAAGCTAATGTAAGCTAGCTAATGTGTCTTTTAACGACTTGCATGCCGCTAAAACGGGACTACGTAGAAGCGTATTTCCAGGTGTATGCATAACATGTCATACAATTGAAAAGAAAACATCGCATGCAGATGATATCAAGCAATGTTGTCGTGACAAACCACGTGTAATTAGTCCAATAAAGCGAGCAGGCCTCTCCCCGGACGGACCACGTTGTAGCCGACATCTTACACATATAGCGTTAAAACTTCAAATACAACCATAATACCACACAAAACTATCCATGAATATACGTGTAAGTGTGTTAACATTGCACATTAGTCTCGTTGTTCCAGTTAAATTAGATATATGAAAAGAATTTCGACAAAGAAACGCTACAACTCTGATGGCGAACTCACCATGATGGCAGTCCGGGAGCAGAAAGGCCGTCTCAGCTTCCGGTTGACGCAGATACGTCTTCCGCTTATACTGTACGCATGCGCACTGTGTATATTTTCTTCTATGAGTTTTTTCTTTTATACTTTTGGATACAAAATAATATATGATGTTCATATACGTTCTTGTATAAATAAAGGGGGAAAACCCCAAAACTTTACAAAGATAAAAGTTACAAACAACAACAATAGGATTTATTAAAGTAACACAAATCAGTCATCTTCTGCGAAGTCAACGAATTGGCATTGGCAACCAACGAATAAGTGCATTACTGCCACCTACTGGACTGGAGTCTGGATCAGTAGATTTTGTTAACAGTTTTTTTTTTAGAGAAATCCTCGATGTGAAAATGGTCTAATATTTGTTGAAGCTTTTGACAATGGGATATTTATTTGAGGATAAACACATGTAAAAAGTGTACATTTACAGGGACAACGAACATTTCAGACCCCATTATATCCTATACAACTTTGTGCAATATATGTGCAAGTGCAATTTATCCTCCTGCAATTTGACGTTTATTTTTGTATTTATTATCTTTATTTACAATTGGCAAACAGTACCAACTAGCTTTTTAATTCAATATGGTCACTTTTCTTAAAAAACAAATATACTGCTACTTTTTTTACCATGGTGTACATATCTGCTATTTCGTTTTTTACTTATTGTGTTAATAATAACGTGTGCATACTTAGACATTTGTATCTGCTGTTGTAATCGTGTACATTTCCCTGTTACGGGTGAAATAAAGGATTTCTGATTCTGATTTCAACACTAACAATAACACATCTTTAAAAAAAAGAAAAAGAAGAACATTAAGAATGTTTACCAACATTAAGAAAATGTTATCTTTTTATAAACCGGAAAGCAAATGCATTTATACCTTCAAAAATGTTGTATTCTTTAATTGTATTAAGGGAAGTGTTAGAAGATAAGTGGTTTTGTTAGATCTTGACAGGGACAACTTGGAACTAACACTTTGTAGACGGTCCCTGCATATAGAAGTTGTGCATCTCGCTGTGTATCGGATTGTTTTGATAGAAATAAGGATGATGCTCCTTTACTACCTTATTATGGTGGTTAAGAAGACACAACGTGTGTGTCTTGGGAACGTTTTGTTTGACGTATTGATCAATGTCTTTCTAACTTAGCCGAAATGTTTCCAGAAGATGTTTCGATCGATGACAGATAATAGCTCATAAAATGTCCTAAAGTCGAAACACTGTAGCCTACATATCTTAAAGTCTGGCTAACGTTGGCCCTGCAGTAAAATAAATACACTATTAATATGCCAAAGACAGGTTATTATGGAAGACATTGTGATTGGTTGTTCTCGTCACCACTACTTTTAACCATGGATTTAACCATGGATGTATAATACGATATTATTATATATAATAAGAACTGGATACAGCCTCGGAGGCGGGGTCTCGTTCTTTCCTATGAGAGCTGCTCCTTGGCGCATGAGGACAAAATGGCCTTCACAGCTTTAACACAACTCCGAAATTATGTCTGGAAGAGGCAAGGGAGGAAATTCACTTGAAATACTTTGATCTGTAAAGATGAGTGGAAGAGGCAAAGGAGGAAACTTTCTTCTTAACGTCGAAGAATAATCTGATAGAAAATGTAAACATTATTCCTATAGTTGACCATTTGAGGATTCGTTCTGAACAACCCGATCCAACAGACTCGAAAATAAGTGGAAGAGGCAAGGAAGGAGCTAAAAAACGGTGATAAAAATGCGTGCCATCTTTTGCTTCAAAATTTGAATTTCACAGGCTCAGGAGAACCCCCAAGTCGTGAATATGTTGGAGAATCACTATTGTTTGATACCAAATAGAAAGTAATTTGAACTCTGCTTATTGCTAGAAGCTGACGTTTCCTTTATGTTCTTTCGACTAAAACCTCAGATCCGAAGTGGAAAGACTGGACTTTCGAATCTTTAATTCAAATAGATATTTCAAAAATCATTGTTAAATTCTGGACTGGCCGAATTCCAGACCACGATGTTGAAACCTATTTGAAGAGATATGGAGATATAATCAGTAAATACAAACCCATAGATAGATACATTTGAGATATGGTATGGGGTGAGAAAATATAAAATAAAGATGAACAGAAACAGTGATGGTGAGATCCAAAATCTCCCAAACTCTATATAATGTCTCTCGGCCCCTACGATGGGAGAGTAATTTATCCAGGGCAATCCGTCACCTGCTTCATCTGCAACTCAGCTAACCATCAGGTCAGAAAATGCACCACAGTGAAATGTTGGAGATGCAATGAACTGGACCACAAGGCTAAAGATTGCAATTCAGATAGTCTCTGCAATCTGTGTGGAAAGATCGGGCACACCTTCTTCAACTGACCATCTTCTTATGTAAACAAGGCAAAAACCCAGCAGCAGCCTGGTCCTCGTCCTGCAGCCAAGCAGCAGCCTGGTCCTCGTCCTGCAGCCCAGCAGCAGCCTGGTCCTGGTCCTCGTCCTGCAGCCCAGCAGCAGCCTGGTCCTGGTCCTCGTCCTGCAGCCCAGCAGAAGCCTGGTCCTGGTCCTGCAGCCCAACAGCAGCCTGGTCCTGCATGGTCCTCGCCCTGCCACCCAGCAAGGGGTTCAAGGTTCTTTATTTAGTCAAACATACACAGTGTAGTTATTTATGATGAAAATCTTGTGTCACAGGCTTCTCTAACAGTGCAACACAAAACACAGATAAACAGAAAAATATAGTACAAGTAAATAGTAATACAAAAAAGAAAAATAGTTTAAAGAACTGAAATAGTGCAATAAGAGTCTATATGCAAGTTATTGAAATATGATATATTAGATAAATAGATAAATATTTTTTAAGTAGCAGCCTGGTCCTGGACTCCCTCCAGCCACCCAGCAGCAGCTTGGTCCCCCTCCAGCCACCCAGCAGCAGCTTGGTCCTCCTCCAGCCACCTAGCAGCAGCCTGGTCTTCGTCCTGCAGCTCAGCAGCAGCCTGGTCCTCGTCCTTCAGCTCAGCAGCAGCCTGGTCCTCGTCCTTCAGCCCAGCAGCAGCCTGGTCCTCGTCCTGCAGCCCAGCAGCAGCCTGGTCCTGGTCCTGTTCCTGATCCTGCAGCCCAGCAGCAGCCTGGTCCTGTTCCTGATCCTGCAGCCCAGCAGCAGCCTGGTCCTGATCCTCGTCCTTCAGCCCCAAATAAAAATATATAACTATTATTAGTAGAAGGGACATAATCCCAGGAAGGCAGCTCATGGATTGTTTTTATAAAAATGAAAAATATCGACTGATCAATATGTATACTGCCCCTGAGGCACAAAATAAGCTAAAATGATTCAGAAGACTAAGAGAACTTTTAACAGTAGGTTATAACATTATATTAGATGGGGATTTTAACACAGTAACAGAAGAAGTGTAGTACAGCTGTTTTTAAACTGAGGCCGGAAGGAAAACTGTTAAAAGAAATCTGCGACGATGCAAACCTAATCGATGTCTGTCGATCACAATTCCCGGATTTCACGAGATAAAACAAGCAAAACCCGTATTGACAGGATTTATGTATCTAACCATTTCTCAGTAACTAACTATAAAACAATCTTCAATAACTTTTCGGATCATCTTTTAGTCCAAACATCATTATCCTCCGGAGCCCCTTAGCCTCTAGTGGCTCACACACAGTGCCTAAAAGATACTTGTGTTTTAACAGAACTAAAGCTGGAAATACAAAATACAACATTTTTAATTGTCCTTATGTCATAGAAAGTGCTCATTGTTATATATTTAAAAATAGTTGTTTGTTTGAATCTTCCTCTCAGAACTCAGATTTCATGTATTTATTTTAACAATGTATCCGTACACAGATGTCTCCAAAACATTCTCCGCAGCGACAATGGAGTTTGCGAATAAAGTGAGTACCACATGTTGATGGGAAAAGAAGTATGTAGTGATGTTACGTATTGTGCCGAGGCTTCGGAGCGTGTGTCAAGTAATCCCCGAAGCTTTTTGTGAAGCATGTATCGAGGCTTGTATCGTTTTGGGCCAGTGACGTCACCGATGACAAACAAAGCCTCGCTGCCTGTCAATACCATGTGACTGCTTCAGAAAGCGATTCAGATCGGTTGAACCACAACGCTCATATTACCCATGGATGTATAATAAGAACCATATTACCCTTCCTGTACCCGGGTCCGGTGACACGATGGAATTAAGAGAGCTCAGACCCTCACGTATAGGTCGGAACATGTCATAAGTAGGCCTATAAATAAAAGCATACATAAAAGTAGGAAGAAAAACATCAATAAATAAATAAATAAATAAATACAGGAATAACTATTATACAGTGTTTTCAGACATAATCAGTGTGTGTGCTGTGGCTTAGCTGGAAAGCAGTTGACTCACAACCGCAGGGTCACTGGTTCAACGACATACGTCTTTTTTTTTGTTTATAAAAGTTACAGCTAAATGAGATAATGTAATAAATGTATTATTTGATATGGTTTAGCCTTTCTCAGGCTACAACATGGTTAAGTTTACGAATATTATTAAGGATCTTTTTTATTTTCGAGAGCAAAACGTTACAGATTACCCGTCATGCCTGGCTGTCAGAGCAGAAATACCTGTATGTGCGCTCATAGAGCATGCACAGTGGAGTTGCCTTTACAACTTTAAGGACCTTATGAATCTAATAAGGGCTATACAAATGTTCATACTGGGTAGTTTATTCAGTTTAAAAAAAGATTATCCGCTGATTTACAGACGTCTCTTTCCCTATGTTCCCACCCCAGCCAGAGCTTTAAAGTCGGCTGACCTGTTGCTGATAGTGCCCAAGCTCAAAAGAGGGGACCGAGCCTTCGCAGCAGCTGGCCCCATGGCTCTGGAACAGTCTGCCCCTCCAGGTCGGCCCAGACACTATGGGTTTTTTAAATCCTCACTAAAAACACACTTTTTCTCTCTGGCCTTCTAGTCAGAGCGGAGTTGGACACCTGCCTATTCCCTGTGTTTTTGTTTTTTATATTTCTGTTGTAAATTATTGTCTTTTATTGTGATTGTAGTGTTTTGATTTGATTTGAATGAATGGGAAAAAGTCTTTCTGGACCCAGTGACGTCACAGACTGATACGGACATTGTAGTACCGCCGTTTGGCCACTACGAATACTTTCCTCAGAGTGTGGCGCACTTCCTTGGGGCTTGCTGCAGCTGGGTGTTATTGAAAATATCAGGCCATTTTGTCCTCATGCGACGCTGTATCCAGTTGTTATTATACATCCATGGTTCATCCAGGAACAGGGAGTGGTTAAAGTCGCTATAAATGTGAATGCTAGTGATGGGCAAATTAAGCTTTGAATGAAGCATCGAACCACTTGGACAATTGTGTCGGAAATAGGTTCATTTCTCGAAGCTTCAGTTACAGCGACCTCTCCTGGCGAAGTGCAAGGCTGCAGTGGGTTTAACGTATCTTTGCCTTGAAAAATATTCGATACACACACACACACACACACACACACACACACGCCCTGAATATCATGTTCTATTTGCAATTAAAGATTGATAATTGTGTGTATTGGGTTATTGAAAAGAGAGTGCTGGAAAATGTGACATTGGTTGGGTGTGCTTGTGTAATTATGGCAGGGGGTGATTATGTGGGATGGGGAACACTCAAAGATCTTTATTGAGGTCATTATTATTTTGTATTTTTCTAAAGGCATTTTTTTTTGGCCAGGGAGGGCTTTTTATCAGTTATAGTATTAAAGTTGAAAAGCGGGAAATGATTAAAAGTTCATCCATACCAGGATTTGAACCAGTTGCGCGGATGACATCCCCGCATGCGGGCCGCCGGCTCTATCCACTACTAGGATATCTATTCTTCAAACTGTCCGACTTTTTTTTTAATACTCATAATTTGTTCACAACTTCTCCACATTTTGAAGTGTTTCCCGAGCTAGAACGACCGATCTTTCTTCCTGGCTTGCTCTATTATGATCCAATACAAAATGCAATACCAACAACAACGCAAACTACTACAACAACCCACACATTGCGCATTGTTTAAAGCGGTTATAAAGTGTTGAAGCGCTCAAATTCGAAACTGTTTCAACCTGTCACCTGTCAGAATCGAGACGAGGCAGTGCATTGAATCACCTGATTGGACGGCGAACCAGTGAGTTGATCCATTCAGGAAATGAAGCAGTTGCTGCTTCGGACGTCATATGTCACGTGATTTGAAGCAAGCTTCGAAGCACAGCTGCTTCTATGAAATAGGAAGTCCAGGGTTTCAAGCACGCATCGAAGCTTCAGTGTCAAACTGCCATCACTAGTGAATGCAACTTCAATCTACTTTTTGGGTAACTATTATTTTCGTTTGTATGACTTATCCCACACTTTCGGTTTACTTACTTCAGTTCGAGGTGTATTTGTAAAACAATTGTGTAGGCTAACATTGACGTAGAATATGTACATCAAGAGTTACTGTGTTATTTTTGCGTTTTACTCATATAGGTTTAGGCTGCTTAACATTATATTCAGATAGAACCTTGCCAATTGTGTTCATAGGTTTAGGAGGATTACTCGAAGAGAAAAGGGTGTTTAAAAGGAAATGCGAAGGCAAAATGTGTTCCTGCTTGTTTCAGGGGTATAGCGTAGCCAGGGTAGGGACAAATACATACCGAGTATTTCTCGTACAAATCCACACGATTCGACTTGGGGGGTGGCGGGGGACCCGAAGTTATCTGCGGCCGCGAGCTGTTATGTGCCATCATGACGCGCATGGTGTTGTCTTTGTATAATGAAGCACGAGCTGTATGCTCGAGTCCTCCTGTCTGTCGGCTCTGCTGCTCCGGGATGAGGGTCTAACTTCAGCAGCTACATTACCTACGGTGCGTTTGTTAACAGTAACTGTGCGGAGTCACTGTGGCACAGACTGGACCGCTGGTGAACAGCTGTTATAACAGTTCAGGTGTTCAGAGCAGAGCTCCCTGTCGCAGCGGCAGAGCGTGATGTGCACTGAAAAGTTTTTCTGTCGCAATATTATTTAAGGAATCGTTGAGCTATCTAACTAGCATACATTGTCACTATCTGCTAACGTTAGCTTTTTGAGTTAAAGTAGAAGTACACATATCTTGTACTTGAGTTAAAGTAGAAGTATCAGAGTGTAGGAATACTTTGTTCAGGCCCGGCTCCAGGATGAAATGACTGAAGGGGCTGTTAACAAATCCGAGGGGGCGATTTTTTTTCTCACAACAGCATAAGTAAAGCTTTTTTCCTTCTCACTGCTCTACAATCTCTTTGCTTCTTTATTTGTATTCCGGATTTACCCCTCTCATTCCGTTCTTTTTCTCTGATCTTTAACGATAGTACATTATTAGATGGCTGCACTTTTTTAACAGACTAACATTGATTTCCTCAATGTATAAATTCACAGGCTCTGTAATTATACCATAACCTTTTCTCCTCTATCCCTTAACTCGTCTTCCTATACATATTTACTTACTTACTATCTACTTTATATTAGGATTAAAGAAAAATTAATCTGGTTGATTTATTATTTCCAGGATTGAATGTTCAAACCAAGGCCTAAAACCTGGCATTTCATAACAAAGTGACTAATATATAAACCAAATGTAATATTGGATAAAATACTACACCAAATGGACATACACAGAATAAACATAAAGTCCCCTGGTTTGTCTCTAGAGTCTAACTGCCATGAGAAAAATCCAATCAATGTTCCAAAATCCGTCACTAGATGTCGCTCATTGTACCAATACGGACGGTTTATATAATACATAACATATTATTATTATTATTATTATAGTAAAAGGGCTCGCTTTGGCAAAAACCTGATCCATACAGACATTGCAGCCCTAAATAATAAGTAACCATCATGTGTGGTGCTATCTGTAGATGTCTGTCTTATTTTTTGTCGATTTCATATTGTTTTCACAGAGCTGTGCAAATGAATTTCCCCCTGGGGACAATAAATCGAATCCAAACCAATTTAATATTCAATCCCGTACTTGGCGATTGAGAACATAATTCGTAATTCACCTCGTTTAAAGCACTTTTGTTGTAATACTATGGATTTAGTTGACACAACTAGCCGAGTTTCTTTTGTCCAATATTTTGCGGGAAGGTACATTGAATTAGAAGGAGAAGAAGTAGAGGTAGAGGAAGGAGAAGGAGTAGAGGTAGGCTGCTTCTCAGGTCGATTAAATTGAATCCTTGCTTCCCTCACTTGCGTCGTTTCTCTGTGTTTAGTCCCTCCCACCAGGGAAGCATGGAGAGACGCAAGGAAACCACGAGAAGCAGGGAAATTAGCTTTAAGAGCAATGGGACATCCTTTCTTCCGGAGCGTCACGTGAAGCGACATCCATATTCAATGGATGAATGATGCTCAAAGTGAGGGGGCAAATAAGACAACTGAGGGGGCCCCTTTTGCCCCCTCGTGGCGCCGGGCCCGACTCTGTTACAAGTAAAAGTCCTGCAATCAAAATGTTACTCAAGTAAAAGTATTATCATCAAAATATAGTTAAAGTAGCAAAAGTAAGGTAGTCATTGTGCACCACTGGCTATAAAGATAGAAAGACTAAGCCTTGCACAGAGGCATGACAATACATTTTCAAAATGCTCAACAGTGCTCCCAAAATTATAAACTGAATGCTACACAATTAAAATAAATGCTTTAATATATTTATATTAGATGTGACTCTATGGCGTTTCTGGTATTATTATTACCACTGCTGCTTTAGTTGTTCTGACTGCTAAAATCCTCTGTTATCCCACATTTTAAAGCCGATATTCCGTGGGGTCGGGGGGCTTGCATCCTTGTCACCTTTTTCATACCTTATGAGTTTGCATCCCTGGACTTAATACAATTATTATTTTAACAACGTTTCTGTACACAGATTTACCGTACTCCAAAACCTTCTCCCCAGCGACAATGGCAGTTTCTCTTGTGAGTACCACATGTTGATGGAAAAAGAACTATGCATTTATTAATTAGTTAGATGTTGTTAAATGAAACCGACTATTACAATTGTAAATTTGAACATTTATATTGCAACATTAAATGCAATATTAGATAAGCTATACCTTATTGGCTCAGCCAACATTTTGTAACGCTATTTACCCTTTATAATAAATACAAGTTTAAATATAACTATTATTATATTGTTTATTATTGTTTTTTTATTAACATTTTTATTGATTAGATTCGATGCTCTCTGTTGATATAGTGTTTCCGAAAAGACACAAATTCTGTAATAGTGTTATAATGAGTAAAGGTTTTGATTTAGATTCATTTTACCACCGTTAACAATGCATTTAATTTTTTTGTTTTCCTTTAACAGCAAGCTATTGTGGAGCTCAGTCTGGAGAGCAAGTAAGAATTTTTCTTTTCTGTTAAGGTGACTTATACACCTTTTCATTACGAGACCCTCAAGTGTCTTTGAGAGTTTGGAGTGAAGAATGTGGTTCAAAGAAGATTTGCAATTTTGCTGTGCACATATACAGTAAGACCTGTACCACAAAACTAACTGCGTCATGAACACCTTCAAGAGGAGAGACAAGATCAGGGCCGTCCCTCCCTACAGGCCGATCATGCAGACTGCGTGGGGCCTCACCTTGCGGAGGGGGCCTCATGTTGCGGAGGGTGCCTCAACTGAGCCGAAAATGTGGCGCACCTATGCGCTTATGCAGCGCAATTAGTGTGGCGCGGCACGGTTTTGCCGCTGCGAAACTATAGATTCTGAGGGCTCCACTGAGGCTCCCCCCGACGACGCTCGCGAATCAGAGGGTCTCATCATATAACTTTGCGTGGGGCCTCATGTTGGCCAGGGACGGCCCTGGATAAGATGCACTGGATTGAACACTGACGAGAGACAAGAAGAAGCAGGATAAAGATGGGAACTGTGGATAACAGGAAGAGCAACAGGATCAACATTAGCTGAGTCATTTGGAGGATAAAAAGCTGTGTTATAAATACAGAAATTTAAAATGTAACTTCATTACTGGATTTTTTAACATATTTGTTAATTAAGTAAGAACAACTTGCTTGTTTACTCTTCAATAGATGTCATTAATTGTACATTGTCAATAGTATGGCATGTTCAATCTTATTTATTTTTTAGGAATCACAGCATCTCATAATTTCTGCTTGTGTGGTTTTGGTAGCAGCCACATTCAGGCGTATCATGGATTATAAAAGTAGTAAAACTAGAAAGACTGCAGGTAGTTGATTCACACCATGCTGACTAAGTGGCTTGTCATCTAATTTTGATATCAATCTGAGAAATCAAGTGGCCAAAATGAGTTTCCTCTTTAGGGTGGATGGCTCATCCTTTTAGATCACGTAGTATATCTGCGGTTCCTTCGTATCAAGTCGAAACAAGAATATTGTGACGGCGTCTAAAAGAGTTTTGAGTAAAGAATGTCGTTCAAAGAAAGTCAATTTCCAGATGTTGCCAATCACCTGGACCACAAAACCTCCCCTGTGTCATGAATACCTGGAAAGATGGAAGACTACACAGAGCAGGTAACAAAAGGACTGATTTTATATTTTCTAGTCTTTGCGACCACTCAAATCGCGGTTTAAACACATGTCAGCACTCGCCCATTCAAACAGTCACCATTACCCTTGACACAAGGAGCCATTTGGGGTTCAGTATCTTGCCTATAGGTAAAAATTCAACATGTTGACCAGAGGGGGCGGAGATTAAACCACCAACCCTTCGATTGATAAAAGACCACTGAGCCACAGACGTCCCTACATCTTCTGAACAGGGAGGAACAAAGGCGTAGCAAACATTGGCAACAAAAAAAGTGTGTCTCCGGGAGAATGAATCGGAGATGTGTGGAGGGATATATGAGCCATGACTTTAACCAACTCAAAGTCCTGGTGAAAAAAAAGATGGACAAGGTCTCAAGATGGCTGATGGTTCGTGTACATCGGTACTGAAAAACTGAATTCAGGACACACAGGCATTGAGCCTCATGGCTGTTGAACACGTACCGAAGCTGTAGCTGAATCAAGAGTCTCCTGGGATCACAATCATGGAAAGAAATGTGGAAGAAATGGACTGGAGCTCACTGATTAACTTGCAGCCACTAATTGGGAAACATTTTTGTCTTCTCTTCCATTCAGGTCATTAGATCTGCTGTTCGGGAAAAAAGGGAGAAAAGGTGAGATAAGATAGAACTAAAGAGAAATGGTTGTGTAGTTTACATTAGACTACACTCTTTTTGCCTCACATTTAATAAAAACTGTGATGTAACTTTTGTTCGGCATGTGTTGCAGGTCCAGATTACCTGAAAGGGGTTTTAGATTGTGTGTCCAAAGAGAAAAAGAACGAGATATTTGACTTAAAAAAACCAGGTGGCGCCACATTGAAGATAGGACCCATGGAAGACACAATTTACAGAAAGGAGCCTAAGGTAGTGAATGGATGGGGGAAATTCTATCTTCCCGAGATAGTAAGAATGCAGGTTGTAGGTGTAGTGGAGGGGACCTCCTGCCCATGGGACCAGCTCGTTCTAATGATCTGTGAGGACGAAAAGCTGTTTGCCTACGATGGAGAGGAGCTACATTTGGTGGCTTCAAGCCCAAAGCAGCTAGATGAAGAGGGAATAAGCTATCCAGGATCCAAGACATACTACGAAGGGGAGGCCTTCAAAGACATGGTGAGAAGTTATGGTAAAATTGCTGGGAACAAAAAGCTTTGTGTTTGCTGAACCTGATAGTTTATCACCTGCGGGCACCGACGAATATTTATTTATATAGTCTTTTGTGTGTAGACCAAAGTTGACTGGGAAGAAGTGCGGAAAGGACCTACGGGGATGAGGCTGGAACGAGTACATCATAAACTGGTGACAAAAAAAAAGGCCACATTTATGGAATATCTCAAAGTCACAGCCGCAATAAAGGGTGAGTATATTTTTCTCTGCTTCAGGGCAAAGATGAAGGTCATGCGTTTAGTGTCACTAGGGGTGGGTATCGTTAGGATTTTATCGATACCGATACTGCTTATCGATACCGGTATTTTTCGATACTCTTATCGATACTTTTATCAATAATTTGGTGCTCAAAATTATAGACATGATTACAAGATGTGAAGATTAAACAAGTCATTTTATTGTAATTTATTATTTAATGTAACTTTTTCAATATCATACCAAGCAGGTATGAGTGTGTTTGACAGTGTGTCTCTAGTGAAAGGGGGGCGGTAATTGGGGGCAGTTCATAAATCCATGTAAACATGACCATTATTTAGTTAAAACGAGACGCTGCATGCGCACCTCCTAAACCGGAAGCTCCGGTCGGCTAACCATTATAATCCGTTTATTATTTATAATTGTAATGATGGATTATCCGTAATCATTTTAAAGTTACACAGAGACATTGGATTAACCGTTTTTATGCCCTTGAACACAACTTTTGATCACAAAACAGCAAAGGTAAGACATAATTATCATCATGGCTACGTAAAGTGAAGTTGTTTTCTTGCTCTTTCCTGGCTGCTAGTTCAGTGAGTTTTGGTCGTACAGTGATGAAACTTATACCAATGGAATCTGTGGAATCTCAGCTTTCATGTGATATGTTGTTTGTGCAGATACAATGACGTAGAAATGATTGCTTTTGCCAGTTATATGCTAAAGTTGCCGTTAGCCCTGTTTTGCTAAGTGTTGATTTAGACTCTTGGTGTTGGACTTCTGTTCCGTGTAGGTAAAATGGTTAATATCGTCTGTTAGCTGAGTTTCTTCCCGTTAAGTGGGTATGCATCATTAATAGGTTGTTAAATGTTAAAAAGCCTGGAGACGCTGTTTCTAGCAAGATGTTGCGTCTGCCCCTATGGTCTGCCCCCGGGATTCTCACAATAATAAGAGCGCTGTTAGGAGAGATGACGAGTGGCATTCACAGTGGCCAATCAGAGCGGTAATCAAACCGGATATGTCACACAGGATGAGGGTTCCCAACCAACTAGAATTGTTTAAACTAAGGAAGTAGTGTAATTCATATACCGATAGCAGCACAGTTTGTCCAGCGACTTAATAACTGTATACCAATACCGTCCAATCAGGTACTGGTACTGACTTAGTACCGGTTCTCGATACCCATCCCTAAGTGTCACGATCATGTTCTTCTGTATTAAGTTATCTCATTTGCTTCTCTCTCTCTCTCTCACTTCCTCTTTCTTTCTCACAGCCGGTCCCTCCCAGAAGCCAGTGACAAGTCCCCAGGCCCTTGTCAGTCGGTGACGTCACTTGTGCCCAAAAATACTAATTTACATATTTTGGATGTGCTCCTACATTGTCTGCTTGTAGTTGTTGGGGAAATATTTTCCTGTGCCTATAACTTTGACCCAGTTTATCAGTTTGTACTGCCCTCGCTGAGCACAGGCCTGCAACCTTGGGCTGCTTTGCTCTCAGTGTTTTGTCTCCCTATTCCTGCCTGTTGGCATAAGCTGATGGAGGTGTTATAGTGCTCCTCCTGTTTTATCTTGTTATGCACAATGTTGATTATTCTCTCAGAACCAGCTAAATAAATGGGTTTGGGGTAGAGATCTTCAGAATTGGTTTGGCAACCGCTGTGTCACCTCGTGGCACACGGCATGTCTTGTGAAATCTCTGGCCGAATCTCCAAATAAACCATCAGTGTTTTCCATCAAAGTTCCTGCTCTCCCTGTGTCTCTCTGAGTCCTGTCTCCATTGCTTCAGAAGTTTCCATCACAGTAGTTAATTAATAAAAAGTACAGGAGCTTGGGAAACATGCATTTCTAATGGCCTGAGATCTGCATAATACAATTGTTATGTTGTGAAAGAGAACATCTTGATTTCCCCCCCCCCCCCCCCACAAATCATTAAGTCTTAAAACCTGTTAAGCCCCAAGCCTGTTTTCCAGGTCTCAGGCTCGAAAATGACATTCCCAGAACAAATGACCATAACTACACTTCTAAAAGGGGAACATTAATAATATTTTTTCTCAAAGCAATGATAAACCTGTGAGTTTGATGTAGAAGAGTCAGAATCAATATAGATATTTTTATTTTAAAGTAAATTCAGATTGAACATAGTAAAACAATTTAAATTATTGGGTCTTTGGGGCCTAAAGGCACCCTACAGCGAGAATGTGTAAAGGTGATTCTGATTCTTCTGATTCTTACTACCTGTCAAAGATGGAGAATCTATAACTCAAACTGAAACATATTTTTTAGAAATAGTGCCTTCATCTCAATACAATGGGGAATAATTGATTTGTTCTAATGAAAGAGAACATGTTTAAAATTGTTCTGGAGGGATTGGATTCAGCCTTCTCATTTCTGCAGTGACTCACTATCACCTCTATGGGGAAAAAGTGGTACAAGACAGCGATGGTCGGGGCTAGTCAGTTAGCATGCTAATTTCAATGTATATATCTGCTAAATACATAGACATCTTTGACATAATGTTAACAGTGTAACAATTTCCTATTCTGTGGATATTGTTAGCGTTGTGTTGATTTAAAGTGGTTTCATCCCTCCGATTATATTTATCTATTTGCACCTAATTATCCCTAAATTCCACCGGGTCCTTCTGTGCCGCGTTACGGCCGCGATCGCGGCCACTCTAGTCAATGGGTGCTATTCCACCAGACGCGCTGCGGTACTGCTAGAAGCGTCCCAGAAGTGTCTCGGCTCTGGGCTCCGCTAACGCGACGCGTTGCATAGCGCCGGGCAAGAAGTGGATCGGTCAGAGCATCCAGTCAATCCCCAAAATAAACTAATTTTGCAGACCCTACCTGCCAGCGATCTCCTCCGGTTTACAGGCACTGTGTAAATTATATATATATAGAATAATTATGATGATGAATGCATTTTTTTACCACTAAAATACAGCAACACATCTTGGATTCATGTAGTTTATAACTGGAATATTACAATTATTATTAACTTTGTGTGCACAAAGTAGCCTGTCCAGGAAATATATATGCTCAAATCAACAAAAACTGCGAGGCGGCACGCAAGACGCTCCGCTTCTGAAACGCGCCCGGTGGGTTATGACGCTGGAGGAGGTCGGACCAAAACCGCGGCGCTGCCGGACCCGGTGGAATCCCGGATTAGGCTATAGCGCGTAAGCTTGCTCCAAAAGTATGTCCAAACTGTAGTTAAAGAAGTTTTTTCATAGACTAATACTATACGAGAGAAGGTAAACATGCACAAAAACACAAAATATACTCTTTACAAAAACGTTATGTTTTCGGATTGTGTCATTTAAATGAAATGGTAATATATGCGGAGTTGCTCTATGATGAGCGAATGTATCTAGTCTAACCAAGTCAAATGTTATTTGCACAGCAGCAGTCTGGCTGATGGACATAATTGTGTTCATGACAATTTAAACATTTACTTTCAATTCATTCACAGTGTGGTATAATGAGACAATAACAAGCTACAGATGCGGACAGGTGCCGGTATGATTTGACTGAGGGGGACGAAAAACAGGCAGAGCCCAGCGCTCTGAAATCTGTGATGCGACCAGCTGGCCTGCATTGTTATCACCCAGGGAGAGCGTCTCTTCAACCCCTGTTCATACTAGGAAACAGCCGTGGACAGCTGCTAAAGGGAGGCCTACAAACAATCCTCCTAAACCACCAAGTGTGCCAATCCAGAACAGATACGCTCCACCGACACAGAACTGGAGATCTCTTTCTGATTACCTGGATAACCTGTCCTCTTCACACAGCAGGGTAAGGACCAATAGTTACTCCAAAAGTAAAAGGCTACAGGGAAAGCTAACGACTGAGCCTGAAACTCTGATTGTGGGTGACTCTGCTGTAAGAGATGTAGTAAGAACAACACCAAAGTACTCTGTTTTCCCAAGGATATGGTCTCTGACTTGGCTGAGAAGATACTGCATATTGGGGCCGAACATCCGAATGTGAAAAATGTGGTACTGCACATTGGAACAAATTATGTTGTGAAACAACAGTCAGAAGTGCTTAAAAGAAGACTTTAAATATCTGCTGACCTTATCAAACAAAAGCGGAAGCCTGTTAAAAGGCAAAACACTGACTAATAGTTTGACCAAGAATGCAAGACCATCAGAAAAGACCTGAGAAAAATAGCAAAGGAAAAACATCGGCAACCAAACAACCCAGCCTTACGCATTAGATACAATGAAGTTTTAAACAAATATGAATGTACAATAAGGAACAAAAAACTAAATGATACCCACATGAAACTTGAAGATATTGAGAAAGCCATTGATCAAAATCAATTCTGGGATCTGTGGAACAACTTCAACACAAAACAACCACAAGCATTACCCATCCAAAACGGTGACATCTGGAGAGAACATTTTGAAAGTTTGTACAAAGACATACCAATAAATCTAATGAATTCAGATCAATGTATTACAAAAGAAAAACTCCAAACATTAGAAGAATATCATTCTTCTCAATGACTTCGGAAGAATTGACCACACAGACACAATCTCTCCGGCCAAGGAAAGCTTGCGGCCCAGACAACATTAAAAACGAAATGCTCAGATGCAGCACCCCAGAGATGCAGGGAACAGTGTTTAAGCTGTTCAATATCATATTGCAGTCAGGATGTTTTCCTGACATCTGCTGCAAAGTGCTCATTTCCCCCATTCATAAGATTGGAGACAAATCAGACCGTGGCATCTGTGTCAGCATTTGTCTGGGAAAATTATTCTGTAGTATTCTAAATAAAATAATACAAGATTTCCTTAACCAACAATCCATCTTGAGTAAAAATCAAATCGGCTTCCTTCCAAAACACCGCACCACAGACCATGTATATTTACCCTTCACACTTTAATTAACAAACATGTACACCAAACGATTTATTTTAAATATTCACTTGTTTAATTGATTTCAAGAAAGCTTTCGACTCTATTTGGCATGAAGGGCTCTATTATAGACTTCTACATTGTGGTATAGGCGGCAAAATGTATGATCTGGTTAAATCAATGTATTTAGAAAATAAGTGTGCTGTTAAAATTGGAGACAAACAAACTGAATTCTTCACCCAGAGAAGAGGTGTTCGTCAGGGTTGCAATTTAAGTCCAACTTTATTTAATGTATAAATAAATGAACTTGCTGTTCAGTTGGATCAATGTTGCTCTTGGCCTCTCCCTCCTAGATAGAGAGGTGAAGTGTCTGCTTTATGCTGATGACCTTGTTCTGCTGTCTCCTACTGAACAAGGACTACAACAACAGCTGGACATAGTAGACCAGTACTGTAAGAACTGGGCCCTGGCAGTCAATATGAAGAAAACTAATGTCATGACCTCAGTGTAGAGGCACTCAAACAGGAGAACAGTGTGCTCCGTGTTCAGTTAGCCAGTTTACCATAAATAATCATATCATTGAACATAGTATGAGTTATACTTTGGTTTAACCATAACAGCATCAGGAATTTTCAACATGGCAGTGAATGCACTCAAAGAAAAAGCCAGAAGAGCTCTAAATGCAATTAAGAGATCATTTTATAATGTCCAAATTCCAATTTAAAATCTGGCTAAAAATCTTTGATAGTGTGATCCAGCCCATTGCGCTGTACGGTAGTGAAGTATAGGGTCCACTCAGTCACCAGAGCTATACCTGCTGGGACAAACATCCAACAGAGTCTTTACATGCAGAATTCTGCAGATACATTTTACGTGTACAGAGAAAAACACCAACAAATGCATGTAGAGCAGAATTAGGCAGATACCCACTGATAATTAACACTCAAAAGAGAGCACTAACATTCTTTAACCACCTTAAATCCAGCCCCCGAGACACCCTCCACTCCAAAGCCCTCCAAAGCCAAGAGCTAAACCCAGAAAAGAGTCCCCTATGTCAGTTGGTGCTGAGGCTAACTGCCCCCTCTCCACTCTGACCAGTCTCTCAACAACACTGCTCTCCAAACACCAATCACAGTCAAACGCATTATAACACAATGTTAAGACAACTATTAACAACATTGGAAAGAATAATTAAAACCCAGATTAGAATGTTACCTGGCTCTAAACAGAGATTATGAACTGGCAGAATATCTCTCTACTGTCAGAGATAGAAAGCAGAGACAGATCCTAACCAAGTACAGGCTCAGTGACCACAAACTGGCAATCGAAACAGGAAGGAGGAGAGCACCGGTTACTTGTATTTTTGTTGTTAGCATCTGGTTAGCTAGCTGCTCTAAAACATATAAGGAGCTGTTTCAATAACAATTTGCTGCCCTAGGCAAGATTTTAGCTGGCGCCCCCCCCCCCCCCCAAAATGCAGACACTCACTATGACTCGTGCATGCATGCACGTGCACGGTTGTGGCATGACCACCAAAACAGAAAGATATGGACACAAGATGTGTGCAAATGTATTTAGTTTCATATCCATTTGAACATGATTTAAGTGGGGGGTGGACCTAACCTCCTCTAGGGGGGTCCGGGGGGCATGCTACCCCGGGAAGATATATATTTTTTAATATTGAAGTTAAAAGCATCAATCTGGTGCACTTTGAGAGCAACATTAAGAGATCTATGGATACATCTCAACATCCATATAAAACAGAACTGTAAACAGATTTTCTTTTTATTTATGGGTATTTTACAAATCACCCCCCTTTTAAACTGTATTCTTGTTTATTAATAACAACTTTTTTTTACTGTCATATAGTATTTTATACTATAAAATACTATATAGTATAATAATCGTGCTTGCCTTTCCGATTATCAGATGGCAGTTAAAGCAGCCAAAACAGAGTATATTTCTCTGTTAATCTCCAAAAACAGCCATAAACCTCAAGTTCTTTTTAATGTCCTCAATTCGATCATTAATCCTTGTGATGCCTCTCCAATTGTGTCATCAACTACTCTCTGCGATACATTTCTTAAATTTGTTATCGAAAAAGTATCTGTTCTAAGGCTAGCCTATACTAGTGCTACCCAGACCCGGCGCCAGAACAAATCTGAAGGGAGGGCATATGATTTTCATGGGAGGGCACACAAAACCGTCACGTGCTGCGGGCCTGCGGCACAATATATCAAACAGCAAGGCCAACAGCAGTGCGTAAAGACGCACACTTATCGCAAATAGCCTACATACATAAATAAAGGGCAACATAGCAACCACTTTGAAACATTGTGTGCGTGGCAGCACAAACACTGGTAAATCACGAGCAAGGCACACTGGTTAAGGATGGCAGCTTCCTCATCGTTGCACTCAGAGAGAAATAGAGACGGACACGATGAACTGTTTAACCCGCCTTGGGCATGGTTTATTTTCCTATGCACTGCAGGTGCATCCTTTCGCTCAGCCGAGCTAACTTAGAACATTATTTTGGCCAACTCTGCATCTTTGTACTGCAGCGTATACTCAAACAGCGATAGGAAGAGCCCACTGCCTGACTCGGACATGCTGTGGAGTGAACCGTGGTCACCTCTGAGAGGGAGTTGGTTGACGGCTAAAAAAGCTATAATATCAACGACAGCTGACACGTAATAACGGTTCCGTGCCAGCTGATCTGCACCAAAGTATTAATTTCCTTATTTGTTTCCTCGCGTATCTGTCTCTCTCCACAAACTCTCACATGAAATGTGTTCTTTTGATGCAGCATGCATTAGCAGTCCTTTATCAGTCTGTAATGCGTGTTTCCAGTCGCAAAAACCTTTGACAGTAAAAGCCGCATCAGATGAAGATGTATTTACTTTAAACTGTCTACAGTGGAAACAAAAGGCTGCGTCTACTTTTAACGAATATTCAAGCCATGGTCTGTTGCAAAAGGTCATGCAAAAGTGCGCTTCTTTCCTGAAAACAATCTCCCTGGATAACGATCCAGTTTCCCCTGGTTGGGTTTATTAACCCCAAGATCATCTGGGGCTGTTGGTCTTTGAGCGGTTGCTTTTCAGCCAATTTCTGATGTCCATTTTGTAATTCAAACAGAAATGGGAGTCTACACAGAATGCACAATAAACAAACAAATCCAGAAGGCAGCAGAGTGTGACGCTGTGATTGGTCTAAATGTGGACGAATCACAAATCACAACAGACACATGAATTTATTTGACATAGCCTGCGATTTTTTGTTTAGTTACTATCTGACATCAGATACATCGTAGCATAAAAGTTCACAGTTTATTTATAATTACAAAAATAAAAACATTTTTTAAAAAAAACGTTATAAATAATCAAAAACGTGTATATTGGGGGAGGGCAGGAATGTCAAATGGGAGGGCCTGGCCCTCCCTGGCCCTCCCACGGCGCCGGGCATGGTGCTACCCCAGATCCTGCTCCCTTTCTGTGCCCTGCTGTCCTCGACCATTTTGAGCCTGAATCCCTCTCTTCTCTCTCGGAAGTAGTCAAGCACCTGCGGCCGACAAACTGTATCTTAGACAGCATTCCTTCTCGCTTCCTGAGAGATGTTTTTGAATCAGTTGGAGCAAGTGTTTTATTGCTTGTAAACACCTCTCTTAGCTCAGGATGTGTCCCAGCTGCCTTCAAACATGCCGTGGTTAAGCCACTACTTAAAAAAAGAAAAATCTCGATCCCTCCATTCTCGCAAATTTCAGGCCCATCTCCCAGCTACCCTTTTTATCTAAAGCCTTGGAGCGAGTAGTCTACGCCCAGCTGCAGTCGTTTTAAACCACGCATGTTATCCACGAAAAATTTCAGTCTGGCTTTAAACCTATGCATAGTACTGAAACAGCCCTTTTAAGAGTTTTTAATGATCTGCTCTTAGCGGGCGATTCAGGCAGCCCAGCTGTCTTGGTGCTGTTAGACTTAACTGCTGCCTTTGACACTGTGGATCATAGTATCCTGTTGTCACGGCTTGAACAGTCCGCAGGTATTACAGGCTCTGCTCTTGCATGGTTTAGGTCTTACCTGACGGACCGTATAGCTTCTCAGTGCAGCTAGGTTCCTTCTCCTCTGCCAAAGCCCCTCTTACCTGTGGGGTTCCCCAAGGCTCGATTCTGGGCCCCATCCTTTTCCTATTGTATATACTGCCCCTAGGTTCAATTCTCACAAAACATAATATCTCCTTCCATTGTTACGCTGATGATGTACAGATGTACCTGCCTCTCAATCAAAATGCCAACTCACTACAGCAGTTGAAGGACTGCTTAATGGAGATTCTATAACACATAGGTGTGAGCAAGCTCTCTGATTGGTCAATAGGCGTGTTTGATTCCACGATCAAACAACGATCAAATAGAACGTGCCTTTTCACAACAAGTCAGTATCCCTCCGCGTCTGAGAAAAACAGTATACCATTGGGCCGTTCAAACTGGAACAAGAAAGCAGCGGAGAAGTAACGGGGCAGAAACCCTCCCTTTTACACAGCGGTCCAGACATAGACATCAAACGGCAAAACATATTCAGTGTGCAGTTCCTTTGGCATTAGGGCAGGGATTTCTAGATACTTTCCAAGGTTTGACATAATTAATTGTGCTACTTTTAAAGCAAGCAACGTTGTTTTCAAATCTGTAATCAAAGAGGTCCGTAAAAACACTATCGACCAATCAGATTGCTTGATTTGACTTGTCAGTTTTATAAATATATTTAAATTTCTTCCGTTACGAAACAAACTTACAAAGCATAAGATGGAAACATTTAAGATTAACTTCGACCTCCGGGGGGGCCTTACTATGGAGGAGTGGATTGAGGAGTGCCTATCTCCAGAAAAAAAAGCACATAAACGACAACATGCAGAGCTACGTGAAGAGCAGGTAGACCAACTGGAGAAGTACCACCATTGAAAAGCTTTCTGATGCGGGTCTTGAAACAAAGCAGAGAAATTATGACCGGTACGAAAGCTCTCTCCAGAGCTACTGAAAGCCCAATCTCGGGGACCGGAGAAAGTGCGATAATATATTATTTACTATAATTCTATTATATCAATAACTGTAAGCGGGGTAGCAGGAGTGTTTGATCGGCTATCGTTACCATAGGAACTACTTTCTAGGAACTACTTTCTGACGGAGATTAACTCAAGCAGAAAGCGTAGGTTTGGTAGCAAATTAGACCACATTATGAAATTATTTTACGATATTGTTGATTACAATGATAGTTTGTGTAATAGAAAGTACTCCAGTACAGGCGTACGGACCTCGGCGCAAGCGCCTCGGTCCTGCCGCAGTACTGTCGTACCAATAATGACGTTCAAGAACGGCCTCTCGTGTATGATTGCTTAATTAAATCCTGGCTGAGCCAAAACTTCCTTACCCTCAATGAGAGCAAGACCGAGGTCATCTTTTTTGGACCCCAACCAACAGTCTCCCCGGTTGATATTCTGGGCTCCCTCAATAAAAATATCCTCCCCTCTGTCATGAACCTTGGAGTGACCTTCAACAGCGCCTTTACATTTGATAAGCAGGTTAGCACTGTAGTCAAGACCTGATTTGGGGTGCGCAATATAGGCGTAGTTCTGTTAGTATAAGATAATAAGATGTACTTTGTTGATCCAAAATCGGGAAATTGTGTTGTTATGAAATCAAATCCTTTTTTTTTTCTATCTTTTTTTTCCTTCCAATTTTCGGCGTGCCCCATAGGTTGATGCGGCCTTAGCATTCGCCTCTACTGCCTATGCCAAGGGCCGGCCCTGGGAGAGTCCTCTGCTGTCAGACTGAGAGACTGATAACTACAGCTCAGGTGAGGTTAAGGACTCTCTGAGTGTTTAGATAGTTAATTTAGTCTAAGTTATCTCAGTGGGTGTCAAACAGTTTGGTCACCATTTATGTAAACACATATTTCCATTTGAGGGGGGGAGTGATTAGTAAAATATGCATGAATAAAAAGAAAAACAATTTAAATAGGTGAAAAAGGGTAAGATAAACTTTTAAAACTTGTTGAGAGCTAAAACTCTTTGCTTCTGCCTCAAAGAGGAGCGGAGGGAGAGTAGGGAGACAGGAGAGGCTGATTCAGGAGCACAGACACACTCACAACTATAAATGAACCAAAAATAAATAAATAAACAACTTTCAATTTTTTTTCATATTGGATATAGTATGTTATTGGTTATGGCCATGTTCTTAGGATTTTATGATTATTTAAATGTGACAGTTCTGTTTCATATGGGTGTTTCCATAGATCTAGTCTATTTATTTCCCCCTCAAAGTGCACCAGATTGATGCATTTAACTCCAACATTTAAAAAAAAATCTTACCTGGGGGGCACCGGACCCCCCTAGAGGATTTGAGGTCCACCCCCAAAATGTGTTCACATGGATAGGTTCCCAAATACATTTGCACATTTTTAAATAGTAACTCCTGTCCATATGTTTATTTGTGGGTAGTAGATTTAAACTATAGGGCTATCACTATGGGCAGCAACGCTGTCAATATTCACAAATAAATCCAGTAAAATGGCATAACACTGTAGTGGCCTGGCTGGGTGTATAATTGCCGGCCTGACTTATTGTCCCAGTCCCAGAAGAAGACGACATGTATCAACAAACCACCGCAGCCCGGACTTGTATCGGAGCAGTGGAGGAGTGATGAGGTATCTAGAGATCTGAGTCCAGCGGGCTGCTTGTGTTTCTGTTCATCAGGACATCATATGACCAGCAGATCCTGTGTGAACGCTCTACGTTAGTCAGTGGACGTCCGACAACATGCACACTAACTTATATTGCAGCTATAGGCTATACTTTGGTTTAAATTGCGTGAATAAACTAGCTAGAGTGCTCAAGTTAATTACATTCATCCAATGTCAGAAGGATTACCTTTTAACAAACGTTGTAATGCTTTTCTTTCATTTCAATTTGAGTAAAACATTGAAGATATAACATTGTATTGTTTTCTTTTTACACTGACTCAGATATAATGAAAAGACTACGTCAGTCGAAGCTCAGCTTTGGTAAGGAAGAGACAGGACAGGCAGAGAGAAAGAGAGAGAGAGAAAGTGATGGAAATCAGGGAGGAACTGCAGGTACAGTCACACAAAAATAATGTAGCCTTAATTACTCAGCTGTACAGAGCAGCAGTGGTACAAACCAAGAACTATGGCAAGTCTGAGAATAATTTCATTGTAATTCAAATACTAAAACTACACACTCATCATGTCTCATCATTTCTATATCTTGCTTAAACCCACAGTGTGTAAAACAGGCCCGGTAGAGAACAGGGCTGGGATGTCCGCAGTCCAAAGCAGAGAACAATGTCAGAGAAAGTAAAGTGAGAGATTAGTAGTTATGTGAAAGTAAGCTATGCACACAGAATAGTTTATGTGTTGATGTCTCTGAGAGCTGAGAGCTGCTGGATCTGTCTGCCCTCAAAGTGCCAGGGATCTACAAGGACTTCACCGCTGCTTCTGCACCTTAGGTATCCCTGTGAGGTGCCACTAGTGGACTCTGCTCTCAGTAAAGTTCAAGCTGGCAGTCCCTTGTCATATGAACATCACCATGACAGCTAGAAGTCACACCGCTGCCCACCAACATGCTCCACCACCATGCTCCACCAGGCCATATCTACCACTGGCTGGCTACAGACTACAACCATCTGCATGCGTTTGTTGTTGTTGTGAACATCAACAGCCAGGGCCGGTTCTAACCAATTTGCTGCCCTAGGCGAGATTTTAGCTGGCGCCCCCCCCTGCCAGAAAATCGTTCAGTAGAACAAATAAAAGTATCCAAGGAATACACAATAGAATATATAAAAAATAAATGAAAAATCTCTACAAAAGACCAATGCACTACAAAAACAGAAACGTATTGACATAGGTCATATTCATCAAAAAGGCTTCAAATGTATTCAGTATTATATGAACATGTTTTAATTGGGGTGAGGACATCACATCCTCTAGGGGGGTCCGGGGGTATGCCCCCCCGGGAAGAAATGTTTGAACATTTAAAGTAAAATGCTTCAATCTGGTGCACTTAGAGCACACATTACTAGAGACCTGATCTAGGGGGTACAACTCTAACGGCCCGTCCACACAGCGGCGTGCGTTGAAGCTTGCCGGCGGGCGTGTCTGAAACTCGACCAACAACCAATCACATGAATCTCCCGCCCCTGACATACAAGCAGCGGTTTGATTGGCTAGAGCTTGTACTGGCATATGATTCGATTGGCTGACGCTTCTGCCGTGGCTTCAAAACTTGAACATTGCTCAACTTTTGCAGCGAGCCACGCCAGCAAAGTGACGTCACTCCATTCAAAGTGAATGGTGAAGCTTCCAACGCACACTGCTGTGTGGACGGGCCGTAAAACACCCATATGAAAAAGATTGGTTTACATTTTAATAATCAAATAAGTATGTGAACATAACCAATAACCTACCATAGCCAATAGCAAATAAATGCAACTTATTTTATTTTTGTTGTTCATTCATATCTTATTTTACCTAGTTAACATTTATTTATGCATATTTTTGTATCTCTCAAGTTTTAAACGATATTTTTGGTTTACTGTCCTATAGTATACATTGAAATGATTTCAAACCTGTTTATCCCAATAATTATAAAAGAGTGCCTTGGAAATATTTGTTTACATAAATTGCATTTATCTCTCTCGCTCGATCCCACACCCACTTTGGCTGTGAGCTGCGGACGCCTGATAAGCCAACACCCCCCACTTTCATCACTTACAGCGCCCATCGTACAGGGCAAATGAAAAGTGTAACCCGGGGTGAAAAGGGTGTTACCTTGACTTAATTATGAATGCTGTTACATCAAGGCCGAAAATTAGGATGAGCGCAAACAGTCAAAATGTTTTTTCCCTCCCAGAGCTGCCAGCGCAGCGCCCCCCCCCCCCAGATCTGGCGCCCTAGGCGACTACCTATGTTGCCTATGCCAAAAAACGGCCCTGACTTAACCTAACAACTTATTTAATTTGTTTTCACAATTACTAATGTCATGTTTTTTTTTATTCTTGAAGAGAATGTCTTTTTTTCTGGCATTCTTCCAGGATTAACAAAAATAAGAATAACATTGAGAACAATCTTTGAAGTAAATGGCTGTTGTTAAACGCTTCCCACATTTACTTCAATCGTACAATAGAAAAGATAAAAGTATCCAAGGAATACACAATAGAATATATAAAGAATAAATGAAAAATCTCTACAAAAGACCAATATACTACAAAAACAGAAACGTATTGACATGTTGGTAATATACATCAAAAAGGCTTCAAATGTATTCGGTATTGTATGAACATGTTTGAATTGGGGTGTGGACATCACATCCTCTAGGGGGGACCGGGGGTATGCCCCCCCGGGAAGAAATGTTTGAACATTTAAAGTAAAATGCTTCAATCGGGTGCACTTTGAGCACACATTGAGACCTGACCTAGGGGGTACAACTCTAAACACCCATATGAAAAAGATTGGTTTACATTTTAATAATCAAATAAGTATGTGAACATAACCAATAACCTACCATAGCCAATAGCAAATAAATGCAACTTATTTTATTTTTGTTGTTCATTCATAACTTATTTTACCTAGTTAACATTTATTTATGCATATTTTTGTATCTCTCAAGTTTTAAACGATATTTTTGGTTTACTGTCCTATAGTATACATTGAAATGATTTCAAACCTGTTTACCCCAATAATTATAAAAGAGTGCCTTGGAAATATTTGCTTACATAAATTGCATTTATCTCTCTCGCTCGATCCCACACCCACTTTGGCTGTGAGCTGCGGACGCCTAATAAGCCAACACCCCCCACTTTCATCACTTACAGCGCCCATCGTACGGGGCAAATGAAAAGTGTAACCCGGGGTGAAAAGGGTGTTACCTTGACTTAATTATGAATGCTGTTACATCAAGGCCGAAAATTAGGATGAGCGCAAACAGTCAAAATGTTTTTTCCCTCCCAGAGCTGCCAGCGCAGCGCCCCCCCCCCCCCCAGATCTGGCGCCCTAGGCGACCACCTATGTCGCCTATGCCAAAAAACGGCCCTGTCAACAGCTGCCCTTAAGGGGATAGTTCTGCATGGTCTTTAGAAGTGGGGTAGTATTGTATATCCATAATCAGTGTATTACCTACAGTAGACCAGTGGAGAAACATACAGGAGCAGAGCCATGTACTGCTGAGGACGTGGGCAGAAGCAACATTTATTTTATCCACCCAAAAAAGCTGTATCAGTTTAAGTGTACGCTATTTAATGCTAAATATAGCGATTTTTTCAGGTGGGCCTTCATTTTTGGGTGCATAAAATAGGTTTTGCTGCTGTGCTGGTACTCCTGTCTCTCCTACTAACTGGGGTCGGACCGCTGTCTTCTGGAGGTTATACACTGACTGGATAAGAACCTCATACAGCCCCACTTCAAACAATCCAAACTATCATCTTAAAGTCTCTTGAGGTCACCTGCAGATGAAAATATGCTGATTCAACACATATAGAGACAGTGACGTGATCCAAGGGATAAAAGAGAGAACAGACCTCTGTGTGTCTCTACCTACATGCACAGCTGCCTCAAATGTCTGTTGATATATTACAATTAATGTCAATAAACATGTGTGTTGAGAATTATGTCAGGTGTTTCTTAAATCACTGTAGTTGCTCAGAGTAATGAGATACAGATAAATAAAGCAATGATCATATTTGTAACCGACTCAAAATCTGATCAAGACAAAAAGCTTTTGTAACATTTAACAACATTTAGTACAATTCATTTTTCAAAATGGCTTTATTTAACACAAAAAC